ATGGGTGGTTCTGCAGAAACTGCACTGTGTTTGGATAACATAAAAACCTATCATGGCTGATTACGCATGGTGGAATGTTGTGCCGTGTGAAGCAGCTCGTTGTATTTATGCCATTCTCAGCCCAGGGTAAACTGGGTAATCAATACCTGTCCCTGGCTACATTATAGTCTGTGGTTACCCCTGGCAGTTGCCACTCTCCCTTTCCTTGGGTCAATCACCGCCAAATAAATGTTTACAGGGTCGTACCGTTTGGTAGGACGTTCAGGAGAAAATGCATAGTGACTGTGATCCAGAACTGTGCACGTGAGCAGCATTCATGATGATTGTGCAATGTGGGAGAACAAAAGAATCACACGGTCATATGTACAAACACAGCCAAACAATGTTTGTGGTACAGCCATTTAGGATAACTTGTGTGTGAAACAAGCCCAAGGTGATGAGAGAGAGAGAGAGAGAGAGAGACTGGGATTGCAACTTAAAGTGTCTTGCAAGGTCATTTAGCAAATAGACTGATACTGCGGAAAATGAGAAAAGCTGAGGGAAATTTCTGAAACAGAAGCTCAGGAAGGAAGAGAAGGGATTATCCCTACCACAGGCTAATTGGAGAGAATTGGTTGATGGATGAGATGCTGGCATTAAAAGGACAAGAGCCAACTGTATGCACATCTAAATGAAAAGACAAAGTTGTTTCCAGGCTGAGAGGCAAAAACAAAGCCTTCAATATAGAAACCTATATACACAGCCTATATAAACAAAGTTTACAGAGATGGGGATCATCTCAGCCTTTCCATACCAATAAGGTACTTGTATCCATCATAATAAGAAACTGTTTTGTTTTTTACTGGTTCAGGGTACAAGCTGTGCAATAAAGGTACCTTTATAACTAAGGACAGATAGAATTAGTTAAATTTGTTCTGTTTTGTGAATTGTCAAGCATCTATTTTCCATCATCTACTCATTGATGGAATCATTTATTTTTTTTAAATAGAGAGATGCAAGAATTTTGTTCCTGCTTGCAATGGTGCACTTGCATGGATTGCCCACAAAAGAAAAAGTCCGTAAGTCTATGTAGTTTGGAAAAAGCCATTCTGTGGCAGAAAGGCCAGACTCATAGAAATCCAAATTCATTGTAGGTACCTCTGACATACTGATTTATAACAAATTGCCTGTAACCACTTCTTCAATTATGTACACAGCCTCTCGATAAAGCAGCGTAAACTTAGAACTGACCATGTGTATGACAAGATTCACATTTCTCATGAAAAACATTTACAGAGACAATGGACCAACTTAGATCTTTATGAAAAAATACAAATAGTTGGGGGAAAATCCTGCATTTTGATTGTTTCAAAACTGTGGCAAACAGTGCTATGCACACACAAATTATGAATACTTTTACTTATCAATTTGTTTTACTAACAGAGTAGTGAAACGCTTACCATACTTTTACACAGGCATTAAGTTGGGATGGCAGAAGCAGATCTTTGTGTACAGTAGATCAGTATGGATTTCTGACTTCCAATTAATTTAACAATAAGAGCAATGAAATTATTGCACTTCTACCCCTACATTATACTGTTGAAATGAAAGAAGCCCCGATAACCAGGAATGGGCCCCTTGTGTGACAAAGGATGGGGAGCTCTATTCTGAGGCTCAGCATGAAATCCTACTCTTGGAACTCTTTAAATCCAAGGGTACATCTTGGAATCTATTAAAAACAGATCAAGACAAAACAAAAGGGGGTCCTGCACGCCTGACGTCCACCAATCCCGGTCTTAGGTAGCCCTCTCCAAGGACTAACTAAAGTGAAAAATAGCCTCCAAACACCTTACGTTTCTACCCTAGTGATGCAATTTCCCAAAAGGAAGCAGCACAGTGCCAGCTGTGATGGTGATTTGTGCTCCTTGGCCATCTTCCACCCAGGCCATCAGAATAAAAAAGCAGGAATGAATCTAAAGTAATTTATTCTAAGCTAGACTGGTCCAAGCTGCCAACAGATGGGAAGAAAGAAGCTTTGGTCTCTGAATCTTTTACAGGCAGTGCCAACTGCCATGCCCATATAATGGTCATGATCCTGCCCTCCCGAGCAGAGGACAGGAAGCTCAAGTTGACTGTTAAGTATGGCTCAGTGTCAGTCAGGACCACTGCTGGGAGCACTGCCAGGCCTGTGTTGCTGGAAAGCTGCCCAGTGGGGAGCCTGGGAGGCTGGAATGAGTAGGTGGCTTGTGTATTCATTGGAAACTGCAGGATGATGGAGTGGGAGAAGGAAGACTGGCCTGCCGATGGCCCAACGCTAAGACTGCACTGAGAACATAAGAGCCCTGCTGGCTCAGACTGAAGGTCTGTCTGGTCCAGCATTCGTCTCCTGCTGTGGCCAGCTAGATGCTTCTGGGAAGCCTACAAGCAAGGCACAAGCACAACAGCTCCTTCCCACCTGTGTCCCCTACCATCTGTTAACCAGAGGAGTCTAGAAATACGTAAATAAAGCCCAACCATTGAGGAAGAAGTCAACAAATAGTGGATCTATATATGCGAACTGAGCCCTTATTGGCTAGCAGCCTTTGATGGACTTCAGCCTGAAGCTACTGAGGTTTTGCATACCTACCCCATTCTTTCCTGTATGTCCTCCACTGGGTTATTAAACTATAGAATTAAGGAACATCACAACTGATGGAAGTATTTAGGATTGCAGTGCTAGCAGAAGGGTACAGGCAAGTATGAATTTCTGTAAGATGCAAAATTTTGCTACTTTTCTGATTTAACAACCACAATGGCTTTTGCCACTATTCCAAAGTTCCAGAGTCTGCTTATCTTCAGGAAAATATTTCCTTCACCTTTCTAAAATCCACCTTTCAGCATATTTCACAGGGCATGAGGTATGGGGAGCAACACACTGTTAGATTTTAAAATTATGATGCTTAGCCCTTTGTTACTCATGATGTAGAAAAAGAACCATTTTAAAAATGAATGTGTTTACAAATGTAGATGAGAAATTATTATAATTTTCTTAGTCATTAATGCTTGCATGCAGTTTGCTGTTAGGCACACATTCATTAATATGCAATTTCAGAATGATGACTCATTGCCTCACTCCCAAAGCCCCATCAAGTACAAGAGAAGTGCACTCTAGGTGAACAGTTGTCATAATTGTGAGGTTGCAAATAAAACCAAGGGCAATGCATCCCTTAGATTTACATTACTTGCCTTTCTGCATTACGGTGCCAATTGGGAGAAGACACAGAACTAATTTAATCATTCTGTTTTCTGCCCATGAGAAGAGGCACCACTGTGACATTTTAGACCTGGTTATAATGTACTCTCATAACCTCTACTGCCTCTATGAGTGAAAGATATATTCCGTTTGTGTTTCAAGTCATTTTGGGAAAACTAGATCCAGATTCTCTCCCTTTCAGACAAGAATGCCTAAGTTTACAGCTGACATTTTCCTAAACTTCCCACTATAGTTTAATGAGGTAAGTCCTTATTTTAACCTGTGTGAGATTTATGTCTGAAAGTTGATGCAATATGTGGTATTTTACATACAGCTTTTCCATCCTTTATGAGAAAACAGAGTCAATGTAGATTCTTGTTCCTGAATCTGAACAACAATAAAACGTTTGGCACTGGGACAGAGTCAGGATTCAGCAGGCCTCTGAGCAAGAGATGATCTGAGAGCCTCCTTCAGCAGGGAGGGGCAAAGGGGACGCAGCAAGCCAAGAAAGCCTTTTCAGAATCCTCTTCCCATTAAGCCGTGCCACATGGAGTAAATCAAGGACACCTTCACCATTCTGTATAGAAATGCAGCCCAGGAACAATACTGCCCATTCCCCCATCCCATTTCTTGGATTACCAGCAAAAGAACACAACTTCATTGTTCTACAGTGTTGGCTCTGTCTGTCTGGTTTCAACTAGAACAGGGATAGGCAAAAGGAAGCTCTCACAATGTCTGGGGCTACTGCTCCCAGAAGCCCCTTCACCATGGCCAAAGGACTGGACTGCTGGGAGTTATATCTGCAACTTCTGGAGATCTGCTTTCTTCTTACCAGTGCACCAGAACACTGAAGAGGACATATTTTGCCTTCCATTTCAGCTCCCCTTCATTGGACTATGGAGGGAAGAAGGCCGGGACACATGGACAGAGACCTTGCTTGACTTGTACATCTCCAATGAAAAATAACTTAACTGTGGGACGCGTGGGTAAAGCACAGGAATGTCATGCTAGTTAGTACAGAGATGTTCCTGACTGCTGCTGCAGTATCTAAATGCATCAAGCCTTGAATACATGGTTAGGACTGAGTGTAATCTTGAGAGAGGGAAGCCTTGCAATCCTCAGGAATAGCTCCAATCAGCCATAACTGCACAGAAGGCCTTTACGCAAGTGCTCATAACACAACTTTAGGAATAATATCAGCAGCAACCATGCAGGTAACACAGCACCTGTGCTCACACATAACACTAAACCATGCTGTGGGTCCTGGGTTCAGACAGGCATGTGTTTTCCATGCATGAGTGTTTTGTACCCTCCTCCATCTTTGCACCTACTACTCTTCTCAAGGGTGAGTGGTGGGTGGAAAGAAGTCTTGTCTTGGAAGACCAAAGGGCTAGCTGCCAGTGATAGGGAGTGAGTTGAGGAGAACTGACTGCCTTCTGCGTAATTCATGCAGGCTCTTTGTATAGCTGGGCACTTATGCTTCAAATGCTCTTTCTATCCCTAGCTGAATTACCAAAGGGAAGACTACCAAAATACTGAAGATTTTCCTGTAATGTAGCAATTGTAAGATCACTTCTTCCTGTGATCCACAGCCTTTAGAAAAGTAGTATCCATATCTGTAACAGACAAGAGGATGAAAAATTTGCCTCCAAACCAGCTCCCTTGTATAACCTCACAGTTCATTAACAAGCAGGTAGTCAAAGGTCAAAATGACTTTTTTTTTTAACCAGAGTAGAAACTCCACGAGTCGGACATAAATAATTGAAAGTTGCTGAAACAAGAGACTTACAGTTAATCCTGAAGATGGATGTACATCTTCCTGGAAAAGCTACTGTATTTGGTATTCTGTGCTGTGGTGAACCAAAATATTGAAGGGTCATTACTGATTACCATAACATCCCACCACTTACTGTGTCATACAAACAGCATATTCAACAAAAGCCACACAAGGCAGAATGTTTATTTTTAAACAGTTTGAAATGTATTTTCCAACCATCAGTTCATCACAAGTTGTTTTTCCACTTCCTTCCAGCCCAACACCTCAAAATATACTTTGCCTTAAAGAATTATAGGTGGATAGGATGAGATCTGTGTTTAACTTCTGTTAAATACATTTTTAAAATGAGGCATTTCCTTCAGTTTGCTACTTCCCAATCCAAGGACATACCCATCTATTCTAGTTTCCACAACATTTACTTTCTTTGGTTATGTAAAACCCTCTTGGGACTGCTGGAGATGGTATACTAGAAACATTGGATGCTTCCAGATGGCTCACTTTCTGCACTACCACTCAAGTCTTTGGGCAGCTATTCCATTTTCTCTTCCTTATTAATTGTGACAAGAAAGACTGAAGGAACAGTGGGAAAACATGGGAGGGCTACCAAGTAAGAAGGCTTTCTTTGCTTTTCCCCATAAAATTCTGTGGAAGAATCAGTGCCGCTCTACAATCAAAGCCTTATCTAGAAGCACCCACTGCTAACCACTGTTTCACGCACTCACCTGTTAGAACCAAGATTCCAGCAGCGGCACTTGCCAACTAGGCTCACAAACTGTTCCGGCATCTCTCTCTCCATCTGAGTACAGGCCCACCAGTTGCCTGCTTGGAAACCCGTGCAGTGATACATCAGGGCTCCATATTGCTCCTGCACATACAAGGAGATACATGGCAAGTGTACATACATATATCTGTATGTTACTTTGCTGAATCCTTGTACTACTGCTACCTCCTTAAAGAGGCGGGACAAGCACAGGAATCAATATACATGTGTAAGTATATGTAAATCTGTACATGTGATGGGAATAGGTATGTGTTTCAATGAATGTACAAAATTCCCAGATAGGTATGTGTGAACCATCTGAAAGAGGACTTGCTGTATAGCTCCTTACTTTAGATCTCTGGATCTAGGCCAGTTTGCAGCCCTCCAATGATTTTGGCCAGAACCCCCATAAGCCATTGCCAGTGCTTACAATAGTGAAAGGTTCTGTGAGCTGAGGCCTTCCGAGCATTTCGGCCTACAAGTGCTCAACTCTGATCTTTGGTAGCATTTCCAGATGCCAAAGGAAAGCAAATGCAAGTTAAAAATATAAACCATTTGAAAACCAGTCAATTGAAAAAGCCTGCTGCAGGCCAGCATTTTGCTTCACTGTGCTGAAGTTATTAGAGCTCCATGCAGAGATGCACAACCCAGAAACTTTGATTATGAATGTGGCAGACCACAGGAATGTTTGGCCTCGCACACCGTCCTCTACAGCACTGTGGTGCACACATACGCAATGAACTCATGAAGCTGAGTCATACCCTCAGCCCATCCAGTGCTGTGTACTGGGCAACAGTTCTCTTCCAGCCTAAGGGCCATTTGGGGCTGACAACAGAGGCAGCCGGGGGCAAAAATGCCAATGTATTAAAGCTTAAAGTTCTTGCTGCCAGTAACTAAGCCTGAGAGGAAACATTTCAACCTTGTAGATTGGGAGTGGGAGAGGAATCTCTCAAAAGCTGGGAAACCACCACATTATTGGCAGTCGGGAGACCCAGGACATGGCCATCAAGGGAACACTGGGGGGCAGACGGAGACCTCGGGTGGGCTGGATTTGGCCGCCGGTGCTGAGATTCGTCACCACTGGGCTGCGGGCAATACAGGCACTGAAGCACAGAGCGACAAGAGGTGATGTCTGAGTCATGACATTTCATCGAACAGGTGGAGTCTGAATCAAGCAAAGAATTCCTCTAGCGTTTCATCTCAGCAGAACTTTGACAACCACAAACCTTAGATGGCAAATGTAACAGAATATCTGTTTAGGTTCATTCCTCTCAAAGTGACTTTGTCAGTGCTACTAATATCAGAGGCGGCAGCAAATGCCTGTGAAAACATGGCATCGGCTACTGTGTCTCCAAGAGTTATTTTTAAACAATTGTGCATAAATATAAACCTATCTATCAAACAGCAAGGGCTCGCTCCAGGTTTTAGGAGGCCTCTGGTCAAGATGCTTCCAGTGGGCCCTCTTCCTGAGCCTAGGCACCCACCTCTTCACCGTTGCCGCTACAGCCCTTTCGCTCGCCTCTGTGCCTGCACTCAGTGTGTACCACCTGAGGGGGAAAGGACGGGTTACCACTCCTTCTGAGGGTCACCATTACTTTTGCTCCTGCCACTTTTCTCTTGCTCAGAGAGGGCAGATGAAATGAACAGACTGAGCAGCAAAGAGGAACAGCACAAGGACCAGGAGTCTCCAAGAACTGGGGTGGTCCACTTTGGGACACAGGGCATGGGAGCACCAACCCTGGAACCGTGCGTCCTGTCCTAGCTTTCTTTCCTTAATCCTGAGAATGCAAATCAGACACAGCCTTGATCTCTGTGCAGATGTTTGATCTGTGTAGACCATGTGTGGCGATTCTCTGGCTCACAGATTTTTTTTTGGGGGGGGTGGATCATGGCCTTCCCTCTGGTGCACTCTCCACCCCTATGCAACAACTTTGTGTGTCACTTTGCCACTGAAGCAACACTTGGGCCAAAAAGGGTTCTTCAGCCCTCCTTTAGATATATGCGCAGGGAAGTGCCATTGTAGTTCCCCTCAACTGGCTGTGCCTTCTCATAGGCAGCCACCTTGCAGTTGAAGTCCCTTTTCTACAGTCTATGCTAGTCTTTGTAGGATCTGTTCAACAGAATTGCTTCATTGCTGGATGCAGAAACCCTGCTTTCAGCCTTGCATAATGATCTGATTTTTCTTCCACATATCTTGTGGGAATCATTCTATAACCTATTCCACGAGTAATTGCTTTAGCTGTTTCACAAGCTACATCTTGTACATGGTCCGACAGTATAACAATGGATGCAACTGATATTTATTTATAACTTTTGTATACAATCCACTGCCAAATAGTCTCGGGACAGCCTTACAATTAAACAAAGTAAGGATACACAATTTGTAATTTGCACTTTTAAGATAACAATTCATTTATTTATAGTAAATATTTTGTGATGTAATACAATTTGTTTATTTATCATTTGCACTGCATTTATATCCTAGATTTTTGCCTCTTGTGAGGAACTCATGGCAGTTTACATAGTGTTGCTCTCGACTGTAACCTCACAACAGGTATAGTCAGGTTAAGCTAGGAGAGAGTGACTGGCTCGAAGTTGCCCATTGAGGTTCACAGCTGAGGGAGGACTAAAACCTGGATCCGCTACATCTTCAGTTCAACACTTTAAATAACATTGCAAACTGGAATATTAAAGTGATCTCGTACCTTTTCACATCAAATGGCATGCAAAGTGATCAGCAACACTAAAATATATAATACAAAATTATAATAAAAAGAAAAAAGCAATTTTGTTAAAAGCACACCAAGAATTAATAGTGCCTGCTCCTCAAACATACTTCAGCAAAGAGAAGGATTATGTAAGTTGCCTTGCCAGAGCAGAAATGTGGGGAACAAGCATCACAATATAGAAATTATAAATTAAAGTCATATTTGAACATAACCATAGTAAGGCAGTGGAGTCCAAAGCATGATCCTGACTGTTGCAAGCTGCATACAGGTCTCTATAGTATAAATGTCTGTGCAGGCATTTATATTCCAAATAAAATAGGAAGTTGAGCCTGCATTGTTCTGGAGCTCAGTAACTGAAGATAACAGTTAATGGTGGCAAATAAATGGAAAATAAAAACTGATAAAATATTTTTCCCTTCCAAGAGACACCTGTCATATTTAGCGACAGAATTATTTTGGAGGCAAAATTGCTTTACCATATGTTGATAAATATCTCTGCTTTGAAATGGTTTGTTGTAGGCAAGCACAAAAGTCACAAAATAGCTTGCACAAAAACATACATGGACTTTGGAAAAGAACACACCATCTCAAAAAAGAAATGACAAATTAATATCTGCAGAATAGCTGCTGGAAGTAAATGGGTTCCAGCCTTGTAACATCAAGAAACTCTTAGCATATCAAACAAACAAGTTACCACTGAATTCTGAAATACAGAAAAATATTTATAGGTTGAAAGCCCATTTTTACCCTGCATTTACTGCAAAAGTATTTCTTCCAACACATAAATAATCCCAATACATGAGTCCCTTTGTATGAAAGACCCATACAAAACCTCTGCCTTCCAGTAAAATGATTTACATTTTTCTTGTTTTCCAAACTTGGGAACATGGCCTTATTTTTCGCCTTCTAATTATTAGATTTTGTATGGTTGTTTATCTTTATTGCTGTGATCTGATCGAGCTCTAAAATCAACACTTTAGAATTCAGTAAAACCAAGAGAGGGTATTGCTTGGGTAAAAGGAAGCCAACACAAGCAGTCGCAAGGTGTCGAACAGATTATTGGAGAGTGCCTTCTCATTCTTTCTACTTGGATACACAATACACATTCCACCTGAGCTGTCAAGGCCACTGCCTATTCTTTCTTTAAAAATATCTGGGGAAGTATGTAGTGCGGTCACAGTCCTACAGCAAATGATGCTGCACTAGGTGAAGGGAGGAAAGGCAGTCTGCCACCAAATTTCAGTGGTGTGGTTCGCCATGAAACTGTGGGGGCAAATGACTGCTGTTTCCCTTTGCCTAGCAAGAGCTAATGCCGTTACAGTCACATGGGTTTACAGAAACACGGCGACAGCGCTGTCCTACCAACAGAAGGTATTCCCTACTTTATGATTCTGGCACATTTGTACTTTGATTGTGCAGGCCTACGAATGCCTAACTTTATGTATGGATGACACTGCCTGGGAGGAGCAGCCTTATAAGCATGTACAATAACTGTATATCCGAGATGTCACTCTCTCATTGCTCAGGACATATGTCACCTATCCTTAAATAGTCCAAATTTGATTTGTAAACCACCCCGAGGCTTTTTGCGACTGGGGCAGCATAGAAATGTTTTAAATAAATAAATAGAGTGAGCATGCCTTCCATTGACGGCTTGTCATTGCCTTTAAAGCTCCCCATAGCTTTGCCTCCAACTATTTTCTGACACTGGTTTTCTGTTGCACCCCTACCTATAATATCTGTTGAACCAGGACTACCCTCAGTTGCTTCACATTTTCTTCCTTCTTCTAGTTCTCAGCCCATTATGCCTAGAACTACCTTCTAGCACACCTACAGAGTTCTTCTATCTTTCTTTTAAGCCCCATTAAGGATACTGTTTTCTAGAGAGAAACATATTGGAGAGATCTGAAAAATTGAGATATTTTATTTTACAGTTACCTGCTTCATGAAGGGTTCAGCTTAACTTGTAGTCCTTCCAAATATACATAACTGCATTAAAATGAACATATTCACTTGCTTTTCTCTCCCTTCTTTATTTGATTTGAACCCCGCTTTTCTACCAAAAAGTGATACCCAAGATGGTTTACAGGCACAATTAAAATCAAATATAACAATACATTAAAATACAGTACAAATATAAGAATTATAGAGAAAAAAATAAGAACAGCACCTAATCCAACAGTCTCACTTACAATGTCTTTTTTGAGTAAAGCAATTTTTGCCTTTTAAGAGGACAGCAGAAAAGAACAAACCTATCCTCCCTTGGAAGGATGCTCCTCACCTCAGAAGCCACCACTAAAAAAAGGCCTTCTCCCAGGTTGCCACCAAATGTACCTCTAAAAACAATAGTCTCAAAAGAAGGGCCTCTCCAGAAGATCTTAAGAACTAGGCAGATCTGTAGGAGCGAAGGCACTCTCTGCAGAAGGAACCAGAACCTTGGTCTCAAGCCATATAGGGTTTTTTAAAGTCATAAACAGTACTTTGAATTCTGTCTGGAAACAGACTGGTAGTCAATGAATCCGTTGTAACAAGGAAGTCATGTGTTTCATATAACCAGCCTGGGCAACAGTTTGCTCATATCATTCTGGTTCAGCTGAAGGTTCTGACAGTTTTCAAAGGCAGCCCCACAGATGTCACATTGCAAGTCCAAAGGGGATGTAACCAAGGCATGTGTGACTTTAACCAAATCAGGTGTCTCTCGGAATGCATGGAGTGGGCACACTAGCCTCAGCTGAGCAAACACACTCCTGGCCACCACTGAGATCTAGCCATCCAGGCTTAGTGCTGAGCCCAGGTGAAAACCTAAACTGTGAGCCTGAGTCATCAAAGAGAATTCCACACAAGTCGAACCTGCCTTTCAACTGACCCCATGAAACTCTGTCTTTTCTGGATTAAGTTTCCATTTGTTTTCCCTCAACCAGTCCATCACTGACATAAGCACCAATGTAGAATCAGAGCAGCTTTCTTGAATTTAGATACAAAGGAGAGAAAGAGTTAGGTGTCATCAGCATATCTGTGGGACCAAACTTCAAGACCGTCACAATGTCTTCCAGTGTATGATACATAGCATGAAAAGATGAAACCTCGAGGGATTCCTCAAGGCAAAGGCCAGAGCACTCAGCAGGAATCTCCCAGCACTACTTCTGGGACTCCCTTTCCAAGGAGGACCAGAGCCACTATAGAACAGTGCCTTCCAGTCACATTTCAAATAGCCACCTCACTAGAATACCACAGTCAACACTATCAAAAGCTACTGAACGCAAAACTAACAGGGACGCACATACCTTGTCCACAGAAAAGTCACCCAGGTGACCAAAGCAAGCTGCTTCATAACCAGGCTAGAAGCCAGATTGAAATGGACCTACACTGTCTTTTCCAGAAATCCTTGGAGCTGAGAAGCCACCATATGTTGCACCTTCTTGTGCATTAAAGGAATATTGGGGGACTCAGTGCGAATTATCCAACACAGTGATATTCAAGGAGGCTTTTTAAAACAAAGGTCTTAGCTCAATCTCCATTAGGCAAGTCAGAATCACACCTTGCCATGAAGAAGCTTTATCGCCACTCTTATCCACTCAGCCAGTCCCCTCCAGCTGTTTTTATATGCCAGATGGAACAAGGGTCCAGCACTCAAGGGTAGCATCTTGTTCACATCCTTTCACTCTACAATGTGAAAAGTATCCATTTTAAGGGGAAAAGCAGAAGTCAAGGTTACATCTATCCTGTATATGTCAACTAGGGCAACCAAATCTGAATGAATATGATTGATTTTATTTGTAAAACATCTGTCAAAGTGGTCCTAGAAGGTTATTGTGTGAGCCACCTCTTTTTCAGGTAAGCCATTGCTCTGTAGGCCTCAGATCAAACAGAAAAGCTCTGTGGGATGACTCTGAGCAGATGCAACGAAGTAAAAGTTCTGTGTGACCCCCACTGCCACACAGTCGGCTTTCAAATGAGCTCTAGCCTGTGTTTGATTGGACCCATTCAGCAGTTTTCACAAATGTTTCTCTTAACGAAGTCTTACTTGTATCACTGCCCTGTTGCAACACCCTGCAACAGAAGGACAGTCGTTTGGCTGAAATCCCTGGGAGAGGATACTCAGGAGCATCAAGCCATTTCTCCATTCCAGATATCAATGAGTGTGTTGACAGAATCATCTGTCAAGGCAACAGGAAAACCCTCAAGGGCTGTCAGAAAAGAGTTCTCATCTCTTCCTTTAGCTTTCTTCCCCAACCTCAAAGTTCCATGTAAACTAATGATGAAATACACAACAACAACAACAACAAGAGACTAAACACCCAAAGTAAATGGATTCAGAATGATTCTGTAAACAGAATATTTAAACCTGTTTTTCTCCCTGGCTTAGATTACAAATGGTCTTTTCATTTTAATAAGGTAATGACACAATGTTAATGGCTGTTGCTTGGCATATTGTTAGGGCAACCCCAGCCACTTTTGTGGTCCATACATTCCACAGGCCTTTCTAAAATTTAAATGCATGAGCCAGAAAATGGCCTAAAGCTCACGTACTTCCAGAAATCAACCCTGCTACAATCATATCTATTTTTGGAAATTTTAATGCACAGCACTTTCCCTTGGTGAGATGATTGCTATTTTAAGAACAGAAGTAGCTGCCCAGGATGAGCTAGAGCAATTAGATAAAAACATGGTATTGTGCATATCCCCATCCTGAATTAGTGGCTGGTAATGCCGTCAAGCTGGCATTAGTCATCTGTCGTATCTTTACAAGCATGATCAGCTCCTGGCCAGCTGCACTTTTAAATACCATGAGGAGCAAACCAAACCTGAGAAACGTATTTGTTGGCTTGGGAGACCACACATTCTGCAGTTAGCTAGGAGGATGGACTTTTCCTTATATGTTAAGATTTGCTTACTGCAGTTTGGTATTTATTCTAGCAGTTTCTACCACATCACTCATTTTACTTTCTTATACATCACTATAAATCTTATTAGTTATTTAGAAAAGGTTTTTTTGAATTTGTTTTGACAATTCTCTTTGAAAATTGTCTTTGAATTAGAAGAAAGATTCTAATTCAAACCAATGTAATCTGATTTATTGCTTTGCATAAAATGAATACAGAGACCAATACAATAAGAAAATTAGTTCAGTGTAAGAAGGATAAAGTAACGCACACTGGGGCAGAAAATCCCTGCTTCCAGTGTAGGCTAATGGTATCTGAGCTGGCAGTGACAGAGCAAAAAAGAGATCGTGAGATCCCTTGGTGGGCAGGGCCGATGAGTATGGCAGTCCAGTGCACAGCTGCTGTGACATGGGCAAAGTCTATGCTAGGCAGAATTAGGAATGCAATAGAAAGCAGAACTGCCAAAATCTTGCTCCCATTATACAAATCTTTGATATGGCTACACTTATGACTACAATCCTAGTTTATCTCACCTAAAAAGGGGGTATTATTGAGCTGGAAAAAGCACAGAGAAGAGCAACAAAATGATCAAGGGGTTGGAGCAGCTCCCCTGTGAGAAGCAGCTACAACTGGGACTGTTTAGCTTAAAAAAAGACAAGTAAGAGGAGACATGATAGGGGTGCTTAAAATCATGCATGGTGTGAAGAAAGTACAGATGGAGACATTTTTCTCCATTTCCCAGAGGCTCAAACTCAGGGTCATCCCCTTAAGTTGTTTGATGGGACATTTAGGACAGATAAAAAGAATAAATTCTTCATACAAATTATTGTTAAACTGTGGAATTCACTGCCATGGGCCACAAATTTGGATGTCTTTAAAAAGCAATCAGGCAGATTCATGGAGGAGGCTACCAGTGGTTACTAGCTTTGCTGGCCGAGTCCTACGTCCACTACTAGAGGTGGCATGCCTGCATATGCCAGTTACTGAGGAACTTGGGCAGAAGGAGGTCTTGCAGCCATCCTGCTTGAGGAATCTTGTGGGCAGTTGGTTTGCCACCATGTGCATGGAGCCCTGGACTAGATGGACCTTCAGTCTGATCCAGTATGGCTTATGTTCTCAAGCCATTTTTTAAAAAGTGTTTATCATCTACAACTTAGCAATTTATTCCAAGCACTAAGGTTCAAACAAAATGCTTGACCAAGGTCATATCTGAGAACTCTTCTCTGATCCCCAAAATAACTGTTTTGAAGGTCCCAAAAATTCCACTGCCTGTTCATCTTAGCATAATATTTATACAATATTAGCGAGACTAGTTTAACCAGTTCCTTCTGCTAAGCATGTTTCAAGTGTTTCTTTTATCTTCCTGAGTCAGGAATGCAACAGGTGAACAAAGTTCTAATGATGTTCACAAACACTGGGCATTGTTAGCAAAGGCTGAGTTAAGAGGAAAAAAGCTAGCTAGAGAGAACAGGGTGAAATGGCAGAGAAGAAAAGTCAGTTGAATTGATTCAAGCTTAACATGAGAGTGAATGTAACTCATTTTTCATTCTTTATCCTGATATTTTATAAGATCCTGAACAAAAATTTTCCCTGTCCACACAATGACCATTAGGCAAGCTGTTTAGACAGCAAGTATTTTACAAAATACATTTCAAACTAAGTGAAATGATGCATTATGCCAGAGTTGAGAAGTATTCTAAGATTACTATCTATTTTTCTCTAACATCTATGACATTTCTACAAGGGGCTTTATGCTACCTGAAATCACTAGGGCTGATGCTACACTTGCTGAGCCCATTGAGGCCTGAATGTACGCAGTCTGTGGTATGTTACTAGCCCGTCCCAGACGCAGACCATGATGTGTCTGGCTCGAGACCCTAACAACACAGTTGAATTTGAACACAACATTGTCAGAGAGTTCCACATACACAGCAGAACCCCGTACAAGAACATCGCTGTTGCATCGGGATTTGTTAAGTTATGTTTGTTAAGTTATGTTCCAGTCAATTTACTTGCATGAAAACCAACCAAGAAAGCCACACATCATCCTTTCAGTATTTTTAGCCCATTCCGAAATTTATGATGACAACAGCCACAGGTCAGGGTAACCGTACTTAACCAGGCTTTATTATTACAGCTTGCAGTACTTGACCCCAAGGCCTAGCCAAGAGGTACACCCGATCTAGTGAGAATTCCATTCAAGACCTTGAGTCGAGTTCTCATGTTACCTGAGAAGATGCTGTTCTTGGCTGCATTTCATGGGATGGGAGGTGAAGGTGTAAATGGGAAAGATTCCAGACATGTTAACATCCTTGTTGTTGACTGCTCCTGCTCTTGCCATGAAAAGCTCAGAATGTGAAAGGTTTCAGCTGTCCATGAAAGAGATTTTATTTCCTCTTCCACAGGAAGAGAATGGTGTGATTTATGTGCCAGAACTTATGTGCTTTTTCTTTCTTTCTTTTAAGTCACTGTGTGCTCCACAGCCTATTAAAATGTACTGGAAATAAGTACATTTTCTTCTCTGTGCAACATGATCTTCCCTGCTTTCTTGCAGGTCTTCATTGCATAAATAAAGGAAGTGAAGCCCAGCTTTCTTTTCGCTCTAAGATGATACTCTTTGTGTTGTAGAGCTGATGGTAGTTGCTGACAAACAAATAGGGTTACTACTGAGAATAAGTAATTTTAGGGAAATGGGAGTGGGTTGGACACATTCTTTGGTGTTATTTCTCTGTATTTAAAAATAAATGGATTTAAATAAATGCAAACATGATGCTCATATAGCACTTTTCCTAAGACCCCATAAAACAGCTAGACTAGCTAGAAAAATAGCTTTCCAGGGGCAGAAGAAGAAACTTCTATTTTAACAGCTTTTTAATATCTTGTAACCATGTGAATAATCACATATGGTCCAGGGTTGATCCAATACATTTTGTTGCTGGAGGCGAAAGACAAGATCATCCCTGCCCCATGCTGCCTACTGAAACTGACCAGACTGGCAGATGAATCCCATTTCAACACTTGTGATGGGACAGCATCATGGAATATGGAACAATCAAAGGGATGCTGCCACTTTTCCAAACCACCATCATCTACTACCTTAGCTAAGCTTCCCATTCTGCCTAATGGCAGAGCCATCCCTACAAGTGGCCTGGAGAGAGGCATCCACCCCATTTGCCTCAAATATTGCTCCTGATACTGAGATACAGCCTGGCAAAAGTTTTCTCATTGTTTAGATAACTTTCTAAGCAGCCAAGTCTATAGCTCAGGGCCAAGGTGAGGGAATATTTGGCTGAAATATGCAGCCAAACCCAAGCTCAATCAGGTATATCACATACTACACCTCCAGTCAGGGAGAAAGCAACCCCATCGTGGCCTCTAGACAGCAACTGAGGGTTCATAAGGTATTTTAGATTTTCTACCTCAATTCTGAAGCTAAGAAATGGCGCTCCTTTCCCCATCCCCGTTCCCTGGTCTCTCAGAGCAAGCATGGAAAAGCACTATCTTGGCTGCCTCTCTGAGATAAGAAACACAGCCTTACAAGGGGATAAAAAGAGATGTTTCATGAAGCAGGATGCGGAAGAGACTGAAGATGCCAGGACAGGATTTCTCCTGAGGTTTCTCCAGCCTTCTTCCCTCCTTCTCTGAAACACTTTCACTAGATGGCCAAAATATTGGTGGAATGGGGCAGGGACAAACTTTCTTCAGACAGCAAAGCATATTGACACAGTCCTGGTCATATGTGACTTTTTTCACCAGAAGAGCCAATCCAGCAAAACACAGGACAGGGAGATGGGGAGATGAAGATTGTTTCAAGTGCTTCTCTCGCTCTGCATAGGATGAACACAAATCTCCATGTCTGGGGACTTATGAACATCAAAGGCATAACCCATAGGATTGTACCCTTACATCAGAACTTTTGCCAACAAAAATCAGACCATGTTAAAAATGGTTCTTGTGTGTTAACCTCCTGCCCTCAAAACTCTTAATTAACTTCTGAAAGTGGCTCAGTCTTGACTCTGGAATTTCACCAGCAGATAGATGTCCATAGCAATTGCTATCTGAGCCTTTATGAGATATGATCATTTGGAATATCTAGCATTCCCCACCCCACCCCTATGTCAAAGACATGGGAACTATTTGCCTTCAGGAACAAAAGCATCTCTCCATTACAGCTTTCTTTCTCAGATATCCGTGTTTGACCCAAAGTGTTCTAGAAAGCTCAGATCTGTTCACAGTTTTGTCTTGACAGGCATTCTTGAGAAGCTTGCAGAATCAGCATCACAAGCTATTTGATCTGCTCTTGGGCAACCTCCAGCAGCTACTTTGGATTTCATCACTATTTTCTTGTAGTTCTCATCCTCTCAAAATTACCATTCCACATATTTTTCTCTTTTTCTTTTTATACCATTGAAGAATTAATCCAAACACTGTAGCTCTGTGGGTGTTCAGCAATATTGCATGCAAATTCACATATTAGAAAGTAGAGGCCTTCCCTGGGCCTCCTTCCTTCAGAGAGGCTACCTTCGCACCACCATGGTCACCAGCCAGTCTTGCTTCCATCCTCTTTCTCACTGTTGCTATCATTGCTTTGCTTGACAAGCAGAGAAGAAGAAGGCAGTAGCATCTACTGCTCCTCCTCCTCACTCCTCCATTGCCTGGACTAGACTGAGAAGCAGGTGAAACAGCAGATTATAATGGTGAAGAGAAGTGACAATTCCAAAGAAGGAATATGTGGGCCCCTAGTGAGTGTGAGCACATCATGGGAAAGGCAGGGCTAGATGAATCACAAGCTGGAATTAAGATTGCTGGGAGAAATATCAGCAATCTCAGATAAGCAGATGAAAACTAAGATCATGGCATCCGGTCCTATCACTTCCTGGCAAATAGATGGGGAAGAAATGGAAGTAGTGACAGATTTTATTTTCTTGGGCTCCAAGATCACCGCAGATGGGGACTGCAGCCAAGAAATTAAAAGACGCCTGCTCCTGGGGAGAAAAGCTATGGCAAATCTAGATAGCATACTAAAAAGCAGAGACATCACCCTGCCAACAAAAGTCTGTATAGTCAAGGCTATGGTTTTCCCAGTTGCAATGTATGGCTGTGAAAGCTGGAGCATAAGGAAGGCTGAGCGCCAAAGGATTGAGGCCTTTGAATTGTGGTGCTAGAGGAGACTCTGTTAAATTCTCTGTTAAAAAAAACCAGAGAAAAAGTAAGCCTGGTGCCAAAATACTAACAGCAGGGAGCCTATTGCAGAGGTGGGGTGCAACTACCAAGAAGGCCCTTCTTCTAGCCAGCATCCCCCTCACTTCCCTATGGGATGGCTCCCTTAGAAGGACCTCTTGGCTCAGTCTTAATAGACAGATAGGGACATATGGGAGCAGACAATCCTTTAGGTACCTGGGACCCAAGCCATTTATGGCTTTACTCATATATGTAAGTACAAGGACTTTAAATTGGGCCTGGACTCCCACTGATAATCAGTGAAGTTGGTATAGAACTTGTTTGATATGGGCTCATGGACTATTCTTGTCAACAATTGTGCAGACCTAGTTTGAACCAGTTGGAGTTTCCGGACCATCTTCAAAGGCAGCCCCATGTAGAGCACATTACCATAATCCAATCAGGATATTACCAGGACATGCATAACTCTGGCTAGGCTTTGTCTGTCAAGATATGGCCATAACTGGTAAATTAGACACCACTGGAGGAAGGTGCTTCTGGCCACCGAATCCACCTGAGACTGAACTGAGAGTTTTAGATCCAAGAACACCCCCAAACTGTGGACCTTGTCCTTTATGGGGAGCACCACTGAACTTGGTGAAAGGGTAAGGGGTCTTAGGTGTGATCATGTCAACTGCCTGGGCTGTCTCCCTATTCCATAATGCAACTTGGGCACCAACAGATGTGCCAACCATATCAGCCAGGTGGACTACTAGATACTCTGTTTACATCTATTATAACGTTCAGTTGACCCTTGAGAAATATTAAAGAACTCCTAACACAGGGATCCCCAACATTTTGGATTGCTGATTACATTTGGAATTTTGATAGGGGCTCATGGGCACTCTCACAAAATATGCCACAAAATATGTGGGGTGGGGTGGGGGGTGTAATTCATTGTATTCATAAAATGGCTACCAAAGTGGGCATGAGAATATTCATTTCCCAGGAAGCAAACAAATGAGACTAAAAGAAAAGTAGTGTGTCCAAGTACTTAAGCAAAAAAACAGAAGGGTAGTTTGAGCTCCAGAATATAAAGCCTCCCTTTTGAAACCAGGTAAGATAGTGTCTCAGGGCAAAACCTCATTTTGCAGCCACCGAATTATCTTTCTAGCACTGCATGAGATGAACCGCATACGTCTCTCCTGCCATATCGCCTCTTCGCAAAGCTCTACTTGTTACCACCCAGCCACACTTGAAGAACATTCAGGAATTTGCTAGCTTTCAGCTATACTTAAGATTATTCAGGAATTTGCCAGTTCTCACATATTTCTAAAATGAGGGCAGCTGAATGGCAGACTCTTACATATAGAACTGCACTCTGTCCAATTAAATTGGCAGTGGGTGGTTATAGCATGGAACATGGTTATTATGGAGAAGATTATGCAGCATCACAAGATGGCCTAAGGGAGAACAAAGTCATAAGGTTTCCTTAGTGTTTGGAATTTTTCTTAATGTTTGGATTGCACAGATGCAGAGGAAAGTATCACCAGCAAGCCTCTGAAATAACAGGCAATACAGACACAGCATGGTTAATGTGAATTCAGTAGACAATGTGTTTAAGCTCCACACAGCGCACACTCTCATGAAGAATGTGCCCAGCCTGGCAACACAGCCAGGCAACACACAAAGTCTTCAGGTAGATGTCAGATTACAAGTGAGTAACAGCACGTTCAAGTAAATAATATCAATAGGTAGCATGTACTGGTCAGAGTACATCTTCACTTGGAGATTATGCATATTGGCTAGGCAATATAGAAAATATACATGGTGGCTATGTGTATTCTTTAGGCAATGGACAAAATGTTGGATCTGTTCACACATTGTCTGCCATCCCCTGGCAATTACTCATATTCAATGGGCAGTGCTACACTCCTATATTTTATTGCTCAGAATAATATTTATATACCACTTGGTAGCCCTCAAAATGGTTCATGAGACTAAAAAAATACACATTTCAATGCAATTAAACGGTGGGCAATAAAAACCTTAAAAACAATCAGGCCAACTGCATTAGAAGATCACCTACTAAGAGTGCAGCACAATAAATACGGCTTCCTAAAAAGGGAGCGAGACAGCCAGAATGAGTGCTGCCATACCTAAAGGGCAGTCTCTTGTCACTGCCAAGCACGCCTCCCGTGGTGCTCCTGACTACCATCGCAACAGATGGGCAGGTTCACGGGAGAGCAGATCGCCCATGAGCTACCCAGCTACCGTTCATTTGCACCTTCATTTACCGCCGTTTCTACGCATTCATCAGTACCCCTATCTTGAAAGACCTATGGAAAAGACAGGCTGCTTACCTGGCAGCTTTCACTCTTCATATCTGCTCAGCACCTGCAGTCTAATAATGTCTGCTTTTTCCCCTTGCATTTTCTCTTTCTTTCTTTTTCCCTTTTCTTTGTGCATTTCTATGTCCTTCCAGCATATATATTGTTGTATGACATTAATATATCTGGAAAATGCATTGTTTTCTTTGAAAATATGAACCCTATTTCATTATAGCAGACTATCAAGACACCACATGTAATTGCAAGAAGAAAACACAAGTTCTAAAATGGATTGCTTGTGAAGGAGTCCATTAACTAAATATGCTTTAGCATGATCAGGCCTGATGAAAAACATTTTAAATGACTTATTTAAAATAAAAACAAACCCTCTACAATGGATTTATCGTTCAAATAAACACCACCTTGTGTTGGGGCCAGGATTTGTTTCCTTTGAGAAGCAGGTCTTCACTTGCAGAAAGTTCCTTGGGAATCCCCGTCTCCTCAACACAACAGAGCTCGTGCCATTTATTGGTGTCTCCTGGCTTTTGATGTAACATTTCTGGGGGATGAAGGGGCTGCTGTGGGATTAGGAGACAGAGAAATCTACTTAGGTCAGTGTAGTAGGCCCAGCATGAATCTGGATCCAACCCATAAGACTCAAACAACCTTTTCCCCCACAACAGATGTATAGCTTTTACAGTTAGCAAGTGGTGGAGATAAAGTAGAACAAGGTTGTCTGACAGCATTAGAAAAGTGATTCGTTCCACAGCTACTCTGTCACTATAGGGGGTTCTTAAGCTCCCCCTGGTGACTGCTGTAGTGACCAACACAGATGAGGTCTGGCTAGGGGGAATTGTGCAATTACACTGTTGTAGAAAACTGTATAAGGTGGTCCATGCTCTGCACATTTCACAATTACAGTACACACAAGTGCAGAAAAAATAGTATTTGATACTGTGCATAAAGAAGTCAACATTCTAGATCTTTTTCAGGTTTGCTTTTTAAAAAGCAAGTTTCTAGCCCCTGAGACCACACAGAATGGCTTGAAAATATGTGGGCAATACCTAGTAAAATATCTCAAGATAAAAGTGCCTTGTGCATACTGTGCTGTCCTTCAACTTGCCTAGAAGGATGGTAACACAGAATAAACAAATGTACGCAAAGCTAGTAAAAGTGCATTGTGTGTACTGGTAGGAAAATTTTACTTTTCTTGGCCCAGATTTTGGGCAATTTTGGTGCGGAATGGCTCAGCACATACAGCTGGGATGCAGCTGTGATCTTAGAATCATAGAATCATGGACCACTAGAGTTGGAAGGGGCCTACAAGGCCTGCTCAGTTCAGGGCTGCATGTTAAAGCACCCGACAACTTCCCTGGGTAATTGGTTCCATTGCTGTACCGCTGTAACAGTCAGGAAAAATTTCCTGATATCCAGCCAGAATCTGGCTTCTTGTGAACTTAGGCCCATTATTCCATGTTCTGTGCTCTGGGATGACTGCGATGAAATCCTGGCCCTCCTCTTTATGACCACCATTCAAGTGTTTGAAAAGTGCTATCGTATCTTCCCTCAATCTTCTTCTCAAGGGTAAACATACGCAGCTCAGGGTCAACAGGCACCCTAGAGCTGTAAAACCAAAAATCAAAATGGTTTTGATATCTGCTTGCCATAGCATCACGAACTTAAGAACTAAGGCTGCTACAGCTGTTTTAGCACTGTTTTAGTCACCTTCAGTGACATGTTTTTTGACTGGTAATGACGGGTGAGAACAATTAAGTCCTTGAGCCCTGTATCAGCTCCCAAGGATATAGAATGTTAGTTGTCTTGGTCTCATGGCTGCATTGGCATATGAGATATAGGTTGCCAGCAAGTTGAAACTCTGGTTAGTAGAGAAGGAAGCCTTGCCAGGGACTTGCAGAGTCCCTAAAAGTCTGCTTTCCCCAATTTGGTGTTCTCCAGATGTGTTCTAGCCAATATGGCCAACTGTTGGCTAGGCATGATGGGAGTTCCAGTCAAACACATCTGGAGGCCAGCAGGTTGGGGAAGGATGCGTAAAGTCATATTTGCATTATGCAAGCTGCTTGGCTCATTATTTTAAAGCTTCACTTGCATTTAGAACAAGTTGTTATTCCTCATCCCCAAAACTCTTAAAACATAATTAAAATTGGATTCCTGGTTAAAATAAAACAGAATGAGGTCAAAGTAACATTCATCATTATCAAAATATTACAATGGATTTTATTTTGCATATTGTTTTCATAAGCTTAAAAAAATCTCTTCTTCAACACCAATATCCATACTGGATCATGTGAGTCATCCATTTGCGCACACACCCGCCAGCAGCAGCCCAGATTTTTCTTTGTGCAGAAAAAAAG